CAGTGAAAGATTGGCTTTCACTAATGAAAGCAACATTTCATTACATCTTGGCCTCCTATTCCCTGCTAGTGTCTGAGGCCCAGGTCATCAGGCCTTGGCCAGGTGGGTGGACAGGGGGAACAGCTCCCGGACTGCCTTGGCTGGGGAGGGTGCCCCCGGGGAGCCCCTCGGCCTGCTGAACTTCCTCCAGGGCAGATGGTACTATGGTGAAGATGAGCTTCCTACCTCCTGCTGAATGTGAGCGTCAGCAGGATTCCGTTCTTTTTTATTGCCTTTGAGACACATGCTGACTTGGTCAAAATCGCTTCGGCAAGATGTGACTGATGATGTATGAAATGAAAACTCCTTGCCCGGTGCTGGGAGGCCGGCGGGCTGTGGACACTCGGCTGGGCTGGCCAGACACAATGATACCCCTCACGTTTCCAGGCTGTCTTTCCACCAGGCGGAGCTGGCCCCAAGTGTGGAGCAGACTAGGGCAGATCTGGTTACGGCAGCGGGGGAGTCCAGCGCTGGGTGCCCAGCTCGGGGAACCACAACTGGGGTGGGGGCTGGGGCGCTGGCTGCTGGGAACTGAGAGAGGCCCCAAGGAGGTTTCTGGGCCCTGGATGGCACAGGAGGGCTGCTGGGGGACAATGAGGGGATCAGAATGCAAGCACTGCCCCTTCGTCGCTAGTGCTGGGCTCCCGCTCTGCTCTCACCCCTGCTCTGGATCTCTCATAGTCAGGATAAATGGGCCTTTCTCTGCTTGGCCCCAAAGCAGACCATCATGAAGAACTGTGTTGTTACTTTTAACTTAGAAGGCTTTCCTGTTAATGTATTTTCCTTTTCATCCAGATGGTAACACACATTGGTCAAATGTTTTCTCTGTGCCCCAGGCACCTTGCAAAGCACTTGACATGAATTGATTTCACTTCCAAATCCTCCTGGCAACCCTGGGAGACAAGTGACCCTAGGAGATGGGCGCTAATAGGCTCCCATTATACAGAGGGGGGAACTGAGACTCCGAGAGTTTAAATCCCCGAGACATGAGTACAAGTGGCAGGCCTGGGGTGTGAAACCAGACAGACAGGCTCCCAGGACCAGGCTGCAAGCTCCCATCCGACTTTCTCTAAACACTCTCGAAGAGTTTGCTGGCGTCCTCGGTTCTCAAAGCAGCATCTGATGTATTCCCAGCCAGATATTTCTTGCCCGTGTGTTTGCATTCATTCATTCGTTCGTTCTGTAATCAAGCAAGCCTTCCCTGAGGGCCTGGGGCAGTGCTGGGCACTCCTGTGGGGGAGGAAGCAGGGAAAATAGAGACACCCTCTCCCCAGCATGGATTACAGGAAAGATAAGCCTAAATGAGGTTGTGGGAATTCAGAGAGAACCTTATCTTGCCCAGGTCTTGGATACAGAGAGCATGTTTTCTCTTCATCTTGCATGAGAAAAGATGGCATCCCAGAGGAAGGGTCTCGGGGTGAGGGGTCTGGGAGACACCGCAACCTGGCGCCTGCATAGTAGGTCCTCAGCCAACGGTGCTCTTTAGGTGTTGGCTGTCCTTACTGCTATTCACTCAATGGGTACTTATTGAGCACCTGCTGTGTGCCAGGCTCCCATGGGCTCAGGTGGGATGCACGGGGCGGGGAGGGGGGGTGTGGGACACTATAATCCTTGCTGCAGGGCCTTCCTGGTTGAGGGGGGACAGGGTAGATGCAGACCAACCAGTTGTTTTCATATGTAAATCAGTAGCACCACTACCTGCCGCCCCCGCCCCCAGCCTCCAATGCCTATCAGAATCCCCCCAAAAGACTTGAGAGTGGATTAAAAAGCAGAGAAGGCCCTTGCTTTCGGGAAGAAAGTAACCTCCTTCATCTCAGCTGGTGTTGGAAGTGGGCATAGCAGTTGCAATGATTTTGCCCCTGAAGGGCCGGCCCCGGGACACGGGGCAGCTCAGGGGCAACAAAGCCTGGCGTCTGTCCCTCGTTCTGCAGGGCCTGTGCACCTGCTGGTCGCTCTGCCTAGGATGCCTTTCCCTGGGAAAGCTGTCCCCTCCTCATCCTTCCAGGACTCAGCTCAGAGCGTCTCCTCCAGGAGATCCCCTTCCCATCTCCCCCTCCCCCCTCCCACCACCTCACCCTGTTGACTTAGCCCTGTCTTTATCACAGGCCAAGATGATGTAGGTCGCACCCTCAGCGGCGGACACGGGGGGCCAGCACTGCTCTGGCTGCCGCTACAGGTCCCTGTGTTAGCTTTCCCCCCACCATGATGCCCATCCGCGTCTTTCCTCCCTGACCCTCCTGTGTTCCCTGTGCTGCCCAGCTCCAGCTGCTGAGAGCACCACCTCCTTCCCCGAGAGCATCCAGGGACAGCACTGCCACCCCTCCTGCCCCCAAATCCTGTTGAAGCTTGCTGCTTTGTCTCCTCTGGGCTGAACGCCAGCTTTGTCATGGAGGCGGCCTCACCGCGGTACCCTCCCGCCCAGCACGGTGCTTGGCACCGGGATGGGCCACATAATTTGCAGGGCCCGGTGCAAGAGGAAAGCAGGGGCCCTCTGTTCACCGATTAGGAAGAATGGCAATACTGAAGCAGCAGAACAGAAAGCCAGGCGTGAGGCCCTTCTGAGCGAGCAGGCCTGGGCGTCTAGGCGGGTGGCATGCCCACGAAGCCCACCCTGCCTGCCACCCAGGAAGGACTTGGCAAACTTTTGTTGAAGGAAAGAGTTCGTGGATAAAGGGCAGGTGGAGGGGGCTTTCAAAGTGCCTCCACTGACAGGTGGGCAGAGGCCCAGCCCTGGGCCTGGGGGCTCAGGACCTGTTCCATCTGGAAGCCGGGGGCCTCAGTAACAGGGCCGGAGAATGTGATAGGAATGTCTATGATCTGCAAGCCTTGCATCTCTCTCCTCCTTGCCTGGCCTCTGGCCTCACGTATCCACCCACGTGGCCCCTCAGGCTGCCATCTTGTCCAAAAGCCCCCAGAGGGCGGCAGGGCAGAACCCTCTCTGCTCCAGAAAACTCTAGGATACCAGGTTTATCTTTTCCAATCCTGGAGCTTTCTCCTGTCCCCATGTGAGGCTGAGCCAGACTGCCCCCCGCCAACCCTTGTCTCCCAGACTCAGCCCTTCACCTTTCATCCCAAAGGTCCTGTGGTGCCCCTCCATCTAGCCCATCATCTGGGAACCCCTAGCTTGTGGATTTGCCTCTTCTGAGCAGCCCCAGGAGGGGAAGGAGGCAAGGTTGAACTTGCACCCACGGCCTCACTTGCCTTCTGGGTGAAGAGCTATTTTGCTCCCATTTTTACAGATGAAGAAATGGGTTTCCTGAAGAGCAGTAATTCACTTACGGTCTCAAAGCATGCTCCACGTTGTCGGTCCCAGTCTATGCTGGGCTCCAAGAGGCTCAGCATGCTCCCGGGATGAATGAATGCTGGGAGGGAAGGCAGAGAAGCTGTCTGGGGAGGTCTCAGGCCCAGCCCCTCAGAGGTGGACTGGATGCAAGGGGGCCTGCCGGCTCTCAGACACCGCCAGCCAGGGGCTGATGGAGAAGGGCAGACGCAGGAGTGGGGTAGGGGACAGGGTATGTAGGCTCAGGCTGAGGAGTGCTTGGAAATGAGCCGGGCCCACAAGGGGAGGAGATGGGGAGAAATCCTGCAGTCCGCACAATTTCAGTCATTTCTACGAATACTAATTGTGCAGCCCCAGCCGCTACCAGGACCTGGGTTCAAGGCGCTGCGGGTGCACAGGAGACTGAGAAAAACCCGGCCTCCCCGCCCCCCCCCCGCTCCGTTTCCGGTGGGGGACACAAGACAGTAAGGAAGGCACGAATAACTCAAAACAGTAATTCCAGACGGTGAGGGGAGTTGAAGCAAATAAAACAAATGTGCGCAGGGGTGAGGAGGGGAGACGACCTTCTCTCTCCTGGTCTGGGAGGAAGTGGCACCCGAGCAGCACCGGGAGGTGGAGGGTTGGCCATCGGAGCTAGGCACAGACGGGGGTGGGAGGGATTAAACGGAAGGGAGAGAATTCCAGGCAGAAGGAATGGCAAGTGCAAAGACAAGCTAGCCGTAAGTTCTGGGAGGCGCGGAGGGGTCCGCCTGGCTGGAGTAAAAGGGACGGTGGTGGAGCAGAGGGACGAGAGGGACTTGGGGTCACCTCCTCCGGGAAGCCTTCTCCGATTGCTGCGCTGCCTCCGCACTCCCCCAGCTTCTTCCACTTCAGCCCAAAACGAATCGCACGGGTCCCGCTCAGGCCTCCTCCCTGTCCGACTTCGAGTCCCGAGAGGGCAGGGCCGGCTCGGATTCCTCCCTCCGCATCCCCGCGGCGCTCGGCCGGGCGCTGGGCACCGCGTGGGCACTCGGTAAATATTTGCAGAGCGCACTAGAAGGAATGAATGAACCCATTGGGCGCAGCTGGGGGGAGGGCGGGGCCGAGGGCAGGTGGGAGGCCGCGGGCGCGGGAGGGGCCCCTGGAAGCCCGTCCTCCTCCTCCTCCTCGCAGGCCCCAGCGCGTACCAGTCTGGGGCTCCCGAGGCGGCCTCTCGTGCGATCAAGGGCGCGCACGGCTGGGAGAGCGACTCGGGGCCCCTGCTCTCCGCGCCGGAGTTCGGAAGAGAGTGGGTCGCCGCCGCCCGAGCGGAGCGGGAGGAAGGAGCGCTCGCTCGCCCGCCGCCTCGCTGCCTCCCCGGCGCTCGCTCTCCCGGCTCCTGGGTTTGCTGGCTGCTCCTCCCACCCGCGCCCGCCTCCTTGCTCGCTCGCTCGCTCGCTCCAGCCGGTTTCCAAGCCCCGCGGTGCGCCCGGGCGAGTGCCGGGCGAGGGGCCCCCGGGGCTAGCGCCGAGCAGGGGGCGGGGGTCCGGGCAGAGCGCAGCCGGCCGGGGAGGGGCCATGTCTGGCGCGGGCGCAGCGGGGCCCGTCTGCAGCAAGTGACCGAGCGGCGTGGACGGCCGCCTGTCCCCCTCCGCCACCTGGGGCGGCGCGGGGCCCCCGGTGCCGGGTGCCCGGAGCCCGGGTCGCGCGTAGAGCCGGCGCGATGCACGTGCGCTCGCTGCGCGCCGCGGCGCCGCACAGCTTCGTGGCGCTCTGGGCGCCCCTGCTCCTGCTGCGCTCAGCCCTGGCCGACTTCAGCCTGGACAACGAGGTGCACTCGAGCTTCATCCACCGGCGCCTCCGCAGCCAGGAGCGGCGGGAGATGCAGCGCGAGATCCTCTCTATCTTGGGCTTGCCCCATCGCCCGCGCCCCCACCTCCAGGGCAAGCACAACTCGGCGCCCATGTTCATGCTGGACCTGTACAATGCCATGGCGGTGGAGGAGGGCGGCGGGCCCGACGGCCAGGGCTTCTCCTACCCCTACAAGGCCGTCTTCAGTACCCAGGGCCCCCCTCTGGCCAGCCTGCAAGATAGCCACTTCCTCACCGACGCCGACATGGTCATGAGCTTCGTCAACCTCGGTGAGTGAGGGCAGGAGGGAGGCGGGAGGGGGGGTGAACGTCTAGGTCAGGAGGCGCTTTGGGACTGGGAGGGGGCCACTTCTTACATCCAGTTCGCCCATCTTTACACTCCGGGCCGTTTGCAAAACCGCAGTGTCTGGCCGAGGGTCTCCTACTCCCGGCCCCAGGGGACCCCCAAGCTGTGCGCGCCCCAGGTAGGGCGAACCGGGCTCATTTTGGCCTGTGGGAGTTAGGCGGAGGAAAGGGCTGGCCCGAAGCCCCCTCCGGGTTAAATCGGCAGCCGCACCTCTGGGGCTGGAGGCGCCGGGCCGGCCGCGGCTCAGTTCAAAGCGCGGGGCTGGGTCATGTGAGCTGCGCCGGGCCCGCGCGGCCCCTGCTACCTGGATTTAAAGGGCCCTGCTGGGCGAAGCCGCCTTCCCGCCCTTTCGGGGCCCCTCTCAGCCCTGTCTGGACCTGGCATCGCAGGCGTCGCGCCCCCTTCCCCGCCCTGGCCAGCCCTACCTGTCCCCTCGCGGTGCGCCCGCCTTAGCGTGCCGCGCGCCGCCAGTGTCTCCGGGCCCCTCTCCTTGCGACCCGGCGCACCCCCCCGCCCCGCCCCGGCTCTCAGCTCTCCCGGCGGGAGCTGGGGAAGAAACGGTGCCATTGCGAGCTTTCTATTTTTAATATTTAATGATAGGTCCCAGGCGGGCAGAATCCATTTTCAGCGTTTATCACGTGTGGCGCGCAAACCACGGCTTTGGGCGATTGAGTGGCGCGGGATCTCGGAGCAGACGCTGCCGGGGGCGGACGGGGGACCTAGCTCACTCCCCGAGCCGCAGGGGCCCCGGGGACCGGAGGCTGGCGCTACAGCGGGGGCGCGGTGGCTCCGCCTCCCTCCGTGCACGCACATTCACCAGACTTGCTCAAACTAACCCCCGGCAGCGCGCTGTAGGACTGATGATCAAATATTTGGTTTCCGAGATAACACACCCCGATAGCGCTGTTCCTGAGCCGATTTCATTCTACGTGTGTAACTTGCTGCGAAAATCCGAACCGAGTCAAGACAGCAAACTCACGCCCACGGGAGCCCTGTCAACAGCGCCGGGATACTGAAGCCCCCCTCTGGGCGCGTGGGGCGTGGGTGGAGGAGCCGGGAAGCGGGAATCAACCCCAAAGCTTCCAGCCCCAGATAAGGCCCGCGAGTTCCCGGGTCGCCATTGTCTGCCCTTAATAATAGCCAAAAAAAAAACAAAAAAAAAAAAAAAAAAAATCAAATAGTGCAACGAGTTTCAGCGAGCAAGGGGTGGGAGGTTTAGATGCCAAAACAACTTCAGGAAAGTTTAAATTATACTAAGCAGCCAGTTAGAAGGAGGCAGCTCCATATGTCCCGGTTTAGAACGATCTCCAAGATGTATGAGGTGGAAAAAACCAAGGTGCAGATCCGTGAGGTTACGTATGTGCTTGTATATCATCTGTTCCCACTGGAAGAAGACACCGTGAACTGGAAATAGATTTTACTGGGGGGTGGGGCAGGACTGGGGCTGGAGCTTAGGAGTGGGACCTGGGGTCTGATTTCTGGTTTTTCACTGTCTGCACTTTTGTCTGTGTGATTTTTTTTTTTTACAATGTGTATTTATGACCTACACCAGAAACTAAAGAAAAATTCCAAATATATATATATATATATATATATATATGTAAATTAAAGCAGAGCTCTGTCGCCATACTGAAGCCGGTGGTTAGCCTGGGCCAGGCCCTTTCTCTGGTGAGGGATTTATGGTATCTTCTGTTCTGTTGGGTACCCATGACCCCCAGTGAATGCAGCAGGTACTGGTGGCCTTCAGAGCCAGGCTAGGGTCATTAAAAAGGCATTTGTAAGCCCTGGCTTCTGCTAACCAAGTGCAGAAAAGTACCCTGCTTCTATGGACCAGCAACATGGTTAGGGCTTCCCCCCACCCCAGAACAGGAGGAGGTTGCTGACTGGGCGCCTCTGGGAACCTTGGGGCAGGGCTGTTCGCTCCCCCTGGGGGGTGGGAGCAAGCCGGGACTTGTTTGAGAAGGCCACAGCTGGGTGGTTCTCCTCTGCCTGTACACACACCTTCCAACCCGTTAGCCCCATTTCTTTCATCTTGAAAGGACAAAGACCGGCTTGTCTGAGCCTCTTAATCAGTCGGGCTGGCTTTGGGCTTTGTGGGACAGTCCTGACTTTCTCAGGTCTTGCTTTCTGGAACATCACTCCAAATTAGATGGCGCAGTGGCTTTTAACAGAGTACGCTGACCTTGTTTTCTTTCCCTCGCTGTCCCTAAAACTCGAGGTCATTAGTTGGGCGAAGACCTGGCCTGCAGTTTGGCAAGACTCCTCCTGTGGATGCTTTAAGGGTGGCCTTTCATTTCTGCTCAGCAACAGCACAGGAGGAGTAAACCGCCTGTCCCTTCCATTCTGTCCAGGGCTCCAGAATTTCTCCATAGGAGGGGCCTGGGGGTGGCAGTGGGGGTGGAGGGGAATGTGTAGGAGATTAATCTGGAAGCTAAATTTGCTGAGGAAGCACACTGATTTTCCTTGGACTGCAAATCATAATTGATCTGTAACATACAAAGTTTTCTAAAGGTGCATTTAGTCTCACACTTTATCCAATAATAAGAAAATGTCATTCGTCCATATCAGATCATTATTTGGTGACCTGCGCGGGGGGTGCGGGCGCAGCTTTGGGGGGCTGCTGACTTTCTCCACGCACCTCCTCCTCCCTCCACTGCATACCACTGCTGTCCTGCCCTGCTTGGGGGACCTCTGACCAGATTCTGAAGGCTTTCGCAGACCTGGTGCGTTTATTCTTCCCTCTGTCTGCAGCCAAAATGGTTTTTGTTCCTCTAAGTCCTTCTCCGTGGAATTCAAGCTTTCTGCCAGGCTGAGTGGGATCTAAACTAGAGCGGGAGCTAGAGGAGAATGTAGGACAAAACCAGATGCGGAGAGTGAGGACTTCAGACCCCATCTTATGACAAAGACCAGCCTGTCTCATGAAGCCCCGTGTGATGCTAGCTGAGCTACAGCGGGGGACCCACATCTCGTCGGCCAGGGCCCCTTTGGTTCAATGGCGAGATTTGTAAACTGGTTTGGATTAACAAGCCCCCGACTCCTCTGTGTAGACTTAATTTTGGATTTCAAAACAGGTTACCCTCTCTGAAATGGAACCCAGGCGATGTGAGTTCTGCAGACCGAATCCGCCAGAGCCCCCTACCATTCCCCCCCCTCCCCGCCCCCCGGCCCCTGTAGAGAAATCCAGCAGTTCCTTTGGGATCTCCAAAAAGAAGCCGCCTGGCATTAGGGGGCATGGGATGCATGTTCCTCTCTGGCCCAGGTTAGGAAAGAAGCAAATTTGTTTTAATCTTCGAAGCTAAATTAAAAAAGAAAAATAAAAACTTGGAAACTGGTCATTCCTGGACTCAGTGTATAAAAGTGGCTTTTGTTAATATAGCTGAAGAGTCAGGAGAAGGCTGTGTAGTTTTTGCTTTATACCATCTGGCTGTCCTTTTTGTTGACAAGTGTTTGGCATTAAGATCTCTCCTCTTGCCCCTTAAGAACAGGCCCTACCACTGTAGAGTATTAGAAAAAGATTCTGTTACAGTTTTAAAAAATTTCCTTCAGGGAGTGCTTCGGGAAAGGAGCATGGGTTGCAGGCATTTGCAGCTGTAACCTGGCTTGTGTTAAAATTTGGAAGGGGCTCTTCCACATTCCAGCACTTGGAGCAACGGCCCTCACTTGTAAGCAGCCAGAGGTTAATATAGATGTCACACAGGCTTTCCCCTGCTCGCTCGCTCGCTCGCTCGCTGCAGAGCGCCTTCGCCATAGGAGTGCACCAACAGCTGTGTTTTTAGCAACCCTTTCCAAATCACTTCTTTTAAACCTCATTTTGCTGGTTCTTAAATCAAAGATCTTCTCCCCCCCCGCACCCCATTCCCCTTTTCCCAAGGATATATGTGACCTAGATTTGAACTTTTTTGATCTTCTTCGTATTTCCCTTCTGGGATCAAGGCAGGTTAAGGCCCAGCCCTGGATGCCAGCCTACGGGGCTACTTTTTGGTTTTTATTCCAAGGGCTCTCATTTGGTTGTGGAGTGGTCCATCCAAGGTGTAAGGGAAGTGGCCCAGATAAAAATCGATTTGCGGGCAGTGAAGGGATGATTCTCTGAATGCTCAGAGAGAAGAAAGGGCTTGCGAGCGGCGGTTCGGGGGGCCTTTGGTCGCGTAGTAGGGCTCTAACCTCTGCAAGATAAACACAGCTGGTGTCCGATCCCCTGACCGCCGGAATGCCTGCGATGTGAGCGAATATCACATGTCTGCTGAACTCAGAGGCAAGTGATGACTTCATTCCGGGGAGAGTCCCATCTAAGTTGATTGATCACCCCTATCGCTTTAATATCTTTTTTCCCTATTGGGTAAGGTCATATTTGGCCCCTTGCAAGAATCAGAGTGTCCTAACGCTCCCGCAGGCCCCACCCTCCCCAGCCTGTCCATCCATTTTGCCAGATGAATATTGAGAATGGAGAGCCCGAATGGCTGGCCATGTTAATTTTTTCGCAATCACTCTTCAGACCTAGCTGGGGGCTGTCGACACACTGTTTTTGGCAGGCTGCTGCAACGCTTCGCCTTAATGCACTCTGGCAGTGTCTCCGGGGTTAGGGCACAGGCAGGGATGTGTGGGACCTGTCATGTTATTGTCAGAAGGAATGCGAGGATTAGCCTTTAAAACGTGGTGGTGGGAGAGCGCGGCAGCTGTATACACTTATTATAAAAGACTTAAGTCCCACTGGTAAAATCAATATATTGAATTGCATGACCCTCTGCTTTTAATTAGTTTAAATCAAATGCGCCGGTGCCATTTTGCCTCCTCTCGCCTTCATGGGGTGAGGAAATACCAATATTTACATAGAAACTGTTAATTTGTGGTGAAAATGATAACACATTTAGCTTTACGCACCCAGATTGCTCGGACTTGATGGATCTCAGAGCAGCGTGGCTCGGCG